TCCCAAAGTCTTATTTTTTCCCTCTCGTATTTTAGTAACTTTCTGGTAAAACTCGGCCAAGTGTGTGTGTGAGGCAGGACTAAATGTTCCTCTCTAATTCCTTGTTGCTCTTTTGTTGCAAAGTTTATCCTCTCCAGGTCCTGCACTATTTTCAACCTGATTATTCTCTCCATCACTTTTCACGGAGTACTTGTCAGTGATGCTGGTCTGTAATTTAACGTCTCCTGTCTGTCTCCCGTTTTTATATATTAACAAATACAAATACAAATACAAATATTTATTTAGGTAAGGTATATACATACAGGGTGAAATACAAAAGTTGATGGATTTGCAGATAGAGTTAGTACATACAATGCCTAAAGCCACTATTACGCAAAGCGTTTTGGGCAGCTTAATTATTTTTAATTTAAGCAAATTAAGACTCATTTGCCCTTTTTTTTTGGCCCAAAATTTAGGATTTCCTGTCTTGAATGTTTCATGGGATACACCAGTTAGTAGTGGGTGACAATGTACCTTTGCAACTCTTTCAGCAACCATAGTGATATCACGTTTGGTTCTAATGATTTTATTACATCTTCTTCTTGCATGTGTTATATAACCTCATCCATAGTGTCTATCCTATGGACAGTTTGAGTGTCCTTTAACTATGTCATCCAGTGTTTCCTCCGGCTTTTCATCTTGCAATTCTTGTCTCACGTTGGTTCCTTTGTAAAAACCTGAAATCTTTTGTAGAGTTTCTCACAGACTTCCTTGTCGTTTTCCATGAGAATTCTTCCTTGTCTCTTCTATGTGATCACATGGCTCTTACTGACGTATTTTTCATTACACGGCTACAAGGCAGCTTTAGCTGGTCCTTAGCTTTTGCTGTAATGCCGTTTACAAACTGCCTCTCAGCTTCTCTTCTGACTCGAGTGTATTAGTTGTCACCTCTCTGTAGTATATCGATGTTTTTCTGTCCTTCTCTGCCATGTATATTGAGCCAGAGGTCTACTTACTCCTCTTCTTTCTCTTTCTTGAGTGGGATGAACAACTTCGCTGCATCGGCATATTTCTGAGAAATTAATTCAGCAATCTCATTACCAGTCTTCCAGTTACTTACCTTTCTGAGACGTCTCTCAGAAAGTCTCTCACCTCACTCTCTCATCTTTCTCAACTGGCTTCACGGTGTTATCCAAACCCCATTAGCTTCACTGTGTTCTCTAGCATGACAACACTGTGGGCCGCTAGCCCCGAGGGGCAGCTTATACTCTGCTGCTGTGATGTCTGCCTCATTCTGGGTGAACAGCAGGTCTACTGTTGCTGGTTGGTCCCTGTTGGTTGGTCCCTGTTGGTTGGTCCTTGTTGGTTGGTTGTTGACTGTTTCAAGTAGCGCTTGTCCGCTGCATCTACTAGTTTTATTCTCCATGTTTCATCACCTTCAGGGAGCCGGTCGGCCGAGCGGACAGCACGCTGGACTATGATCCTGTGGTCCTTGGTTCGATCCCAGGCGCCGGCGAGAAACAATGGGCAGAGTTTCTTTCACCCTATGCCCCTGTTACCTAGCAGTAAAATAGGTACCTGGGTGTTAGTCAGCTGTCATGGGCTGCTTCCTGGGGGGTGGAGGCCTGGTCGAGGACCGGGCCGCGGGGACACTAAAAAAGCCCCGAAATCATCTCAAGATAACCTCAAGATAACCTTCATTGGGGGGTTTCATATTTATCCAATCTATTTCCCTATGATTGAAATCTCCACGTATTAGAATCCTAGATCTCGCCCCCTTGCCATTGAGGCGGATTTTTTTCCATTACCTCTAAAGATATCTTGTTGCAGATATCATAGCCTTTCATAGGCGTTTTATTTACTTTGTGATGGATTGTAAATCCCCACTTCCACCATCTTCTTGAGGTTATCTTGAGATGATTTCGGGTTTTTTTTTAGTGTCCCCGCGGCCCGGTCCTCGACCAGGCCTCCACCCCCAGGAAGCAGCCCGTGACAGCTGGCTGCTTCCTGGGGAAGCTTCTTCAACGCTACAGGTGTTGGTATTCCGAGTTGGTACTCGTGCTGATCGGATTCACTCTCATACCTTTACCTCTTCAAGCCTCCAGTGTAGTCGCAGCATCACGGCTACTTCACCTCCACCCTTGTTCACCCTATTACCTAATATCCTAATGGGAAAGATTACATTTTTTCCATAACACTTGTCAGGATCGTTTCCGAACTTGGAAACTTTCTGTCATCTTTTCCTGTAATTCTACCCCTTTATTTGTAATTCCATCTGCATGTGTATGTAACTTTATTACGATCTTTAGTAATAACTTTTTAATATGTAATAACTAATAATTTAGTAGTGACTTTAGGATTAAAATTCAACTGGAAAAGATCACATGGAGGAAGACCTTCGACAAGCCGCCGGCTTCTTGTTCTCGTCGAGGACACTAGTGTTAGCGGTTCTAAGGTAAATTCAGGCAAACTTTCACACTTCTCATCTCTACCGAGATGTCCGGGTTGTGGCCCAAAGTGGAGTGATTCCCGCTTGTTTCACAGCCAAGTGTGATCGGGGTAAGGGTCGTTCACAGGTCTAAGTGCCTCAGTATACTGGCCTGACGATGGGCTATAACACCTAGAGTGACGGTGCAGTGACTGAGGAGTGACAGTGAGGTGGAGTGACTGAGGAGTGACAGTGAGGTGGAGTGACTGAGGAGTGACAGTGAGGTGGAGTGACTGAGGAGTGACAGTGAGGTGGAGTGACTGAGGAGTGACAGTGAGGTGGAGTGACTGAGGAGTGACAGTGAGGTGGAGTGACTGAGGAGTGACAGTGAGGGGAAGTGACTGAGGAGTGACAGTGAGGTGGAGTGACTGAGGAGTGACAGTGAGGTGGAGTGACTGAGGAGTGACAGTGAGGGGAAGTGACTGAGGAGTGACAGTGAGGTGGAGTGACTGAGGAGTGACAGTGAGGGGAAGTGACTGAGGAGTGACAGTGAGGGGAAGTGACTGAGGAGTGACAGTGAGGTGGAGTGACTGAGGAGTGACAGTGAGGGGAAGTGACTGAGGAGTGACAGTGAGGGGAAGTGACTGAGGAGTGACAGTGAGGTGGAGTGACTGAGGAGTGACAGTGAGGTGGAGTGACTGAGGAGTGACAGTGAGGTGGAGTGACTGAGGAGTGACAGTGAGGTGGAGTGACTGAGGAGTGACAGTGAGGTGGAGTGACTGAGGAGTGACAGTGAGGGGAAGTGACTGAGGAGTGACAGTGAGGTGGAGTGACTGAGGAGTGACAGTGAGGTGGAGTGACTGAGGAGTGACAGTGAGAGGAAGTGACTGAGGAGTGACAGTGAGGTGGAGTGACTGAGGAGTGACAGTGAGGGGAAGTGACTGTGGTCACTTACCGATAAACTATATTCCGTTCCACAACAGACCGTAGCGAGGCCCATTAACAGCCCAGAAAGCCGGAAACACAGACCGAAACATAGAGTGATACAGACCGAAACACAGACCGAAACATAGAGTGATACAGACCGAAACACAGACCGAAACACCCGACACTGTACAACAGGTGAGGAAGACCACGACCTAATGTACCAAACATTACGGTAGAAACAGACACAATAGTTTTCTGTGAGTAATTACCTTCTAACAGAAATTTCCTATGAGGAGGACCTGTCATTTAGGATACAGATAGACACACCAGTCGCAAGATAATGAATTGAAAAACATTTAAATGGGAGTAGAAGAGAGAGAGAGAGAGAGAGAGGAGAGAGAGAGAGAGAGAGAGAGAGAGAGAGAGAGAGAGAGAGAGAGAGAGAGAGAGAGAGAGAGAGAGAGAGAGAGAGGAGAGGAGAGAGAGAGAGAGAGAGAGAGAGAGAGAGAGAGAGAGAGAGAGAGAGAGAGAGAGAGAGAGAGAGAGAGAGAGAGAGAGAGAGAGAGAGAGAGAGAGAGAGAGAGAGAAGAAGACAAGCCAATTTGACGTAAACCCACTCATCAACACAAGGGTAGAGGAGAACTACCCAGGGCGTAATCAAGACACGTTCAGCTCAAGTATCTGAGTGTAAATATGATGTCAACATTTTCAAAACACGACGGTAGCAAAAATGTTTATATTTCATCAAAAGTGCCTTTTGATGCTAGAAACCTTTAGAGAAGAGGAGAGAGAGGAAGATAGAGATAATAAAGGTGTAATAGGAGAACGCTGAGAACAAGTATACAAAATTCTTGCAATACTAATTGTGGGATGTTTCCATGGTAACCACTGACGATGCTTTGGGAGTATGAGGAACAGATGAGGAGAGGAGAAGATGAGGTGTGAGTGACCAGGAGAAAAGGGGAGAGGAGAAGGAACAGGAGGATAGTCAATGGAAGAGGAAGAGAGAACAAATGGGAGTAGAAATAGGTAGATAAAATCTACCTATATCTCTATATCATTTTTCCTCAATACAATTATTATATTTTCAATAATAATAAGTTATTATTATTATTAACTATTATTAAATTTCATTTTATTTATAATAATACTTAATAATTCCGTTCAACAAGGAAGTTATTATTCAACTCTTCAACAAAGAAGTTATTATTCAACTCTTCAACAAAGAAGTTATTATCCAACTCTTCAACAAAGAAGGTATTATCCAACTCTTCAACAAAGAAGTTATTATCCAACTCTTCAACAAAGAAGGTATTATCCAACTCTTCAACAAAGAAGTTATTATCCAACTCTTCAACAAAGAAGTTATTATCCAACTCTTCAACAAAGAAGTTATTATCCAACTCTTCAACAAAGAAGGTATTATCCAACTCTTCAACAAAGAAGTTAGTATCCAACTCTTCAACAAAGAAGGTATTATCCAACTCTTCAACAAAGAAGTTATTATCCAACTCTTCAACAAAGAAGGTATTATCCAACTCTTCAACAAAGAAGTTATTATCCAACTCTTCAACAAAGAAGTTATTATCCAACTCTTCAACAAAGAAGTTATTATCCAACTCTTCAACAAAGAAGGTATTATCCAACTCTTCAACAAAGAAGGTATTATCCAACTCTTCAACAAAGAAGTTATTATCCAACTCTTCAACAAAGAAGTTATTATCCAACTCTTCAACAAAGAAGTTATTATTCAACTCTTCAACAAAGAAGTTATTATCCAACTCTTCAACAAAGAAGTTATTATTCAACTCTTCAACAAAGAAGTTATTATCCAACTCTTCAACAAAGAAGGTATTATCCAACTCTTCAACAAAGAAGGTATTATCCAACTCTTCAACAAAGAAGTTATTATCCAACTCTTCAACAAAGAAGTTATTATCCAACTCTTCAACAAAGAAGTTATTATCCAACTCTTCAACAAAGAAGGTATTATCCAACTCTTCAACAAAGAAGGTATTATCCAACTCTTCAACAAAGAAGTTATTATCCAACTCTTCAACAAAGAAGTTATTATCCAACTCTTCAACAAAGAAGTTAGTATCCAACTCTTCAACAAAGAAGTTATTATTCAACTCTTCAACAAAGAAGAGACGAGTTGCAACACTATGGAACAAAGAACAGAAATAATAAATCTGTTCATCTGGCTTTCCTGCAAGAGCCTCTCACGAGAACAGGTCGTAGAACAAGTAACATGTGCACGACCAGGGGAGATGTTGCATTAACGTGAACAGTGCAATCTCGGTGCTCGAAGCCGTCTGGAGTGAGTGTGTGGGAAGCTGTTTGGAGTGTGTGTGTGTGGGAAGCTGTTTGGAGTGTGTGTGTGTGGGAAGCTGTCTGGAGTGTGTGTGTGTGTGTGGGAAGCTGTTTGGAGTGTGTGTGTGTGGGAAGCTGTTTGGAGTGTGTGTGGGAAGCTGTTAGGAGTGTGTGTGTGTGGGAAGCTGTTTGGAGTGTGTGTGTGTGTGTTGGAAGCTGTTTGGAGTGTGTGTGTGTGTGTTGGAAGCTGTTTGGAGTGAGTGTGTGGGAAGCTGTTTGGAGTGTGTGTGTGTGGGAAGCTGTTTGGAGTGTGTGTGTGTGTGTGGGAAGCTGTTTGGAGTGTGTGTGTGGGAAGCTGTTTGGAGTGTGTGTGTGGGGGAAGCTGTTTGGAGTGTGTGTGTGGGAAGCTGTTTGGAGTGTGTGTGTGTGGGAAGCTGTTTGGAGTGTGTGTGTGTGGGAAGCTGTTTGGAGTGTGTGTGTGTGTGTGGGAAGCTGTTTGGAGTGTGTGTGTGTGGGAAGCTGTTTGGAGTGTGTGTGTGTGTGTGTGTGGGAAGCTGTTTGGAGTGTGTGTGTGTGGGAAGCTGTCTGGAGTGTGTGTGGGAAGCTGTTTGGAGTGTGTGTGTGTGGGAAGCTGTTTGGAGTGTGTGTGTGGGAAGCTGTTTGGAGTGTGTGTGTGGGAAGCTGTTTGCAGTGTGTGTGTGGGAAGCTGTTTGGAGTGTGTGAAAGTTGTTTGGAGTGTGAGGAAGCTGTCTAGAGTGTGTGAAAGTTGTTTGGAGTGTGTGGAAGCTGTCTAGAGTGTGTGAAAGTTGTTTGGAGTGTGAGGAAGCTGTCTAGAGTGTGTGAAAGTTGTTTAGAGTGTGAGGAAGCTGTCTAGAGTGTGTGAAAGTTGTTTGGAGTGTGAGGAAGCTGTCTAGAGTGTGTGAAAGTTGTTTGGAGTGTGAGGAAGCTGTCTAGAGTGTGTGAAAGTTGTTTGGAGTGTGAGGAAGCTGTCTAGAGTGTGTGAAAGTTGTTTGGAGTGTGAGGAAGCTGTCTAGAGTGTGTGAAAGTTGTTTGGAGTGTGATGAAGCTGTCTAGAGTGTGTTGAAGCAGTCAAGAGTATGTGGAAGCTGTCTAGAGTGTGTGAAAGTTGTTTGGAGTGTGAGAAAGCTGTCTAGAGTGCGCACGAAAGAATTGTTCAGCAGGAGTGGGAGTGTCTGGAGTTCCCGCTGTGTTCAGCGGGTGCAGAGCTAGAGCTCAACCACTTGGCGTGATTGGGCACAGCGACGACTTCGCCTCTTGCAGGCCGGGGTTCGATCCGGGAGGGACGAACATTTGTACAGGTGTTTGGGTGGAGCTTAAAGAGATCAGGTGTGTTTAGTCTTTTGATCTCAGGATATGTGTAAATGAGAAAGCCTTCCCAAGAGAGTCTTTTCAAGTGTGTGAGCAGTGTAGAGAGCCTTTTCAATAGTGTCAGCAGTCTAGAGAGCCTTTTCAAGTGTGTGAGCAGTCTAGAGAGCCTTTTCAAGTGTATGAGCGGTCTAAAGAGCCTTTCCAAGTGTGCGAGCAGTCTAGAGAGCTTTTCCAAGTGTGTGAGCAGTCTAAAGAGCCTTTTCAAGTGTGTAATCAATCCAGAGAGTCTTTTCAAGTGTGTGAGCAGTCTAGAGAGCCTTTTCAAGTGTGTCAGCAGTGTAGAGAGCCTTTTCAAGTGTGTTTGCAGTCTAGAGAGCCTTTTCAAGTGTGTCAGCTATTGACAGACCCTCTCCAAGTGTGTCAGCTATTGACAGACCCTCTCCAAGTGTGTCAGCTATTGACAGACCCTCTCCAAGTGTGTCAGCTATTGACAGACCCTCTCCAAGTGTGTCAGCCATTGACAGACCCTCTCCAAGTGTGTCAGCTATTGACAGACCCTCTCCAAGTGTGTCAGCTATTGACAGACCCTCCCCAAGTGTGTCAGCTATTGACAGACCCTCTCCAAGTGTGTCAGCCATTGACAGACCCTCTCCAAGTGTGTCAGCCATTGACAGACCCTCTCCAAGTGTGTCAGCTATTGACAGACCCTCTCCAAGTGTGTCAGCTATTGACAGACCCTCCCCAAGTGTGTCAGCTATTGACAGACCCTCTCCAAGTGTGTCAGCTATTGACAGACCCTCCCCAAGTGTGTCAGCTATTGACAGACCCTCTCCAAGTGTGTCAGCCATTGACAGACCCTCTCCAAGTGTGTCAGCTATTGACAGACCCTCTCCAAGTGTGTCAGCTATTGACAGACCCTCTCCAAGTGTGTCAGCCATTGACAGACCCTCTCCAAGTGTGTCAGCTATTGACAGACCCTCTCCAAGTGTGTCAGCTATTGACAGACCCTCCCCAAGTGTGTCAGCTATTGACAGACCCTCTCCAAGTGTGTCAGCCATTGACAGACCCTCTCCAAGTGTGTCAGCTATTGACAGACCCTCCCCAAGTGTGTCAGCCATTGACAGACCCTCTCCAAGTGTGTCAGCCATTGACAGACCCTCTCCAAGTGTGTCAGCCATTGACAGACCCTCTCCAAGTGTGTCAGCCATTGACAGACCCTCTCCAAGTGTGTCAGCTATTGACAGACCCTCTCCAAGTGTGTCAGCTATTGACAGACCCTCTCCAAGTGTGTCAGCTATTGACAGACCCTCCCCAAGTGTGTCAGCCATTGACAGACCCTCTCCAAGTGTGTCAGCCATTGACAGACCCTCCCCAAGTGTGTCAGCCATTGACAGACCCTCTCCAAGTGTGTCAGCCATTGACAGACCCTCTCCAAGTGTGTCAGCCATTGACAGACCCTCTCCAAGTGTGTCAGCCATTGACAGACCCTCTCCAAGTGTGTCAGCCATTGACAGACCCTCTCCAAGTGTGTCAGCCATTGACAGACCCTCTCCAAGTGTGTCAGCCATTGACAGACCCTCCCCAAGTGTGTCAGCCATTGACAGACCCTCTCCAAGTGTGTCAGCCATTGACAGACCCTCTCCAAGTGTGTCAGCCATTGACAGACCCTCTCCAAGTGTGTCAGCCATTGACAGACCCTCCCCAAGTGTGTCTGCCATTAAGAGAGCCTTGCTAAGTGTGTCACACTGTTATGAGGAGTGACCCCACGTCAGATATTCTGCACCTTTAGTAAATGGAGATGAATGATGTGTCCTGCCTAATTGCTCATGTAATGTTACATTCATGTTCATAAACTTTGTTCAGCTCCCTGAGACCTGACGAGGCTCTAGTGTGTGTCTCAGTAATTACACGAGAGCTGGTCAAAGGCACTGTTGAGGAGTGCCCACAAGAGTGTGAAGGGGAGAGGGAGAGGAAGAGGGGAGATGGAAGAGAGTAAAGGGAGATGAGAGACAGTGAAACAAAAGAGGGGGGAGTAATTAGGGGGTTTAACAGGGGGGGGGAATGGTTCTGCTTCAACCCCCCCCCCCCTTCAGTGAACCAATGCAGCAGAACCATTCTCTTCTGCTTGGTGAGAGTTTCTGTGTGACTCTGGCTTCGTGCAGGTCAGCGTTCAATCCCCGACTGTCCACAAGTGGTTGGGCACCATTTCCCCCCCTCCCCCCGTCCCATCCTAAAATCCTTATCCTGACCCCTTCCAAGTGCTATATAGTCGTAATGACTTTGTGCTTTCTCCTAATAATTACCAGCTTGTCGTATGTGCTGTATTTAAAATATTCATAATATACTTATTATTGAATTCTCGGCCAATACAAAAGACCTTTTCTTGAACACATCCCTGGAAACACAAACCGAAACTGTCTCTATTTTCCGCTTGTTACAACTTGTAATAAAGTTGTTACATCTTGGCTTAACGTGTTTATGACGTATTAGAACGTTGTTACAACTTGCTATATTGGTTGTTGTAACTGGTTAGGAGGTGTTAAAACTTGTTCGAACGTTGTACCAACGTCGTAGTTTCGGTGTGTGTTTGGCGGGAACAGACCTTAGTAATTCGTGTTTGTGTCAAGTAATTAAATAAACATTTGAGTGTACGAACGCAACGCCGTTGGCAAAATCCCTCCTGGTCAGTTTCGAGTCATAATTCACACAATTAGTCAGCTTAGTACATCACCTCGTGTTAAAATCATGTAATAATTAAGAAACTGCAGAAGGCCTATGGGTGCCCATACGAGGCCCTACTCTATATTTATGTCCATCTAAACCCAGTCACATATATTGTCTCACCTACACTTGAAACAATCAAGCGATCCATTGCGTAACCCGGTCATCTGTTCCACAAATCAACAACCTTGTTTCCAAACCATTATTTACCCAGGTCTTTTCTAAATCAAAAATTAATCTCCAATTAATCCCAATTAATCTCCATTATTTTATGTCTTATTTTGCGCTGATATATTTAAAATCTTACTTAGATCCTCTAAAGCCACCATAGATGCCGAGACAACTATAGTGTTAATTACCCTGAAGCTCAGGTAAATACATGTATCTTCAGGTAATCTGTCTGAAGCTGTCTGTGACAGCTTCTCGATGGAAGCTGTGTACACCTCCCTCCCAGGGTGTGATGGAAGGGAGGGAGGGAAGGAGACAGTGGGAGGGAGATGTGAGAAGGAATGGAACGGAACTGTCAGGAGAAAGCGCTAAGCCAATACAGGTTATGTCTAATGCTTGAAGGTAACATATTTATTGCGTGATCCTCGCATTAGTTATGCTTGTCTTATTGTCTGTCTGTCTGAGTCTGTGTGAGGGCCTGTCTGCCTGTCTGCCTGCCTGCCTGCCTGCCAGCCAGTCTGCCAGCCTGCTTGCCAGCCAGCCTGCCTGCCTACCATCCTGCCTGCCAGCCTGCCTACCAGCCAGCCTGGCTGCCTGCCAGCCTGCCTGCCTGCCAGCCTGCCTGCCAGCCTGCCTGCCAGACAGCCTGCCAGCCTGCCTGCCAGACAGCCTGCCAGCCAGCCTGCCTGCCTGTATGTCTACATTTCATTATTTTCCCTTATCTTAGTTTCCATATAACCCGTTTTCTCTCTCCATCAAGTTGCATGTTGTGAAGCGTTAGCAAGTGTTGTGACGTGAACAACAATTCACAATTATAACCAGTGCCGCAAACCATCAAGTACTCGTGTTATAGTACAACTATGGTAAACCTCTCCATAATGGTTGCTATAACCTGCTGCATGGGTAACAGCTTCTCCTCCATATCAACCTACCCTGGCTTTGGGCCCTCTGGTGGTCGCTCCAGATTGAAAACCAGAGCGCAAGTCCATAGTCTCTCGAGACTGATGGGTGTCTACTACTAATTGGTAACTCTTTTTTGGCTGTAATAATTGCATTGATATCACCTCCAGAGAACTGGGTATAGAGTCCGCCCTCGCAGCAGAAAATGATCAAACCAGTTATCATGGAGAGGTGGGGAGAAATGTCCAAGATGTTAAAAGTATCTTTACAATTCTTACAGGGGGGGGGGGAGATGGATTATCAGGTTACGCATAAACAAATGATGTCGTCATCTTGGCGACATTATTAGTTTATGCTTGAATAATTAGTTTATGCTTGAATAATTAGTTTATGCTTGAATAATTAGTTTATGCTCCTGGAACTTGAGTATATTAGGCTAATTGACTCAGGAGGAGGCCAGTCATCTAGTGCCTAGTGCGAGGGAAGGGAAGGTAACTATCAGGGGGAAAGCACCAAGTCATTACGACTATATAGCCATTGGAAGGGGTCAGGATAAGGATTTGGGATGAGAAGGGGGAAGGAATGGTGCCCAACCACTTGGACGGTCGGGGATTGAACACCGACCTGCATTAAGAGAGACCGTCGCTCTACCGTCCACTCCAAGTGGCTGGGTGTAGTGCGAGGCAACTTTAATCTTGGCATACTTACCGGTGAATAGAATACCTGTTTAATCTAGTCATGAATACAAAGGGAAATATATTGACTCATAAAAATACTCATAAGATCACAGGTGATGCTCGAAGCACTTCAAGATCTATGACTCATAATAAAGGGAAAAATATATAAAATACACGTGCGAGCAGCCGCGTCCAACAGCCTGGTTGATCAGTCCGGCAACCAGGAGGCCTGGTCGACGACCGGACCGCGGGGACGCTAAGCCCCGGAAGCACCTCAAGGTAACCTCAAGGTAAGGTAATCCTCGGTTCCTGCCCGGCGTCGGAGGAGTTCGAGGAAATCTACAGCCTCTAGGAAGCAAATTTTTTCTTGTGTCCTCTTAATGTTCATTTTTTGTATAAAATCAGATATGTAACTGTATAACCTTGCATAATAAAGTGTACACCATAATAAAAAAAAAGGGGGGTGGTAGGAGAAGCGAACACTCTTTCGTATTCAGAGTTAAATGGCAAGTTTTTCCCTGAATGCTCTGTGTTCCCTTCTCTGAGGCTGTGGGTCCCTATAATTGCCCCAGTGGTGGTACCCCCCTAAATACACAGGATATGATTAACAGTAAACTTGATTTAATAAAAGGCAAATTAATTAACCTCAAGCTGGAATGACAGCCTTAACTTTTAGAGGCAATGAAAACATCTTGAGGTTATCTTAAGATGATTTCGGGGGCTTAGTGTCCCCGCGGCCCGGTCCTCGACCAGGCCTCCACCCCCAGGAAGCAGCCCGTGACAGGTGACTAACCCCCAGGTACCTATTTTACTACTAGGTAACAGGGGGGGGGTATCAGGGTGAAAGAAACCCTGCCCCATCGTTTCTCTCCGGCGCCCGGGATCGAACCCGGGACCACATGATCACGCTTCCAGTGTTCTGTCCCCTCAGCCGCCGGTTCACGGACACAAATTGTACCGAGAACCCAAAGCAGACAATCTAATTGTCTGCTTTGGGTTCTCGGAATTGAACCCAATTCATTGGGTTGGGATTGAACCCAATTTCAATCTAATTTCAAAGTCTAATTACCGTTAGACTGCTTCTCAGCTGATGTTGTTTACCTCCTTTTAGATCACCCCTCACCCCCTTCACCCCCCCTCTAGCCCTCCTAAGATCACACTATCCTTTTCTTAACTATCCTTC